TTGCCCCAACCCAGGTGCAGCACCTGCTGCTGGTGCGCTCTGAGCAATACCTGTGACTTCTGCCATGTGGGCAGAGCTGGTGTGTGCTGGAAATCCCTGAGCAGCTTTAGCTCCTTCAGAAATGACAGCCAAGGTGCTGCAAGCAGATTGCTGGGAAGGTGTTCCTAGCCTCAGCGTGAGATCTGCGGGGGGGTTATTTCAAGTGTTTTCTGTCTGGGTTGAGAACTGACATAAGCTGGGCATGGTACTGTGATGGGAGAGGTTTCTCTCACACCTCCCTTCGCTCCCGGGGTGCTGCCTTGAGACTGTCACTCCACCCCAGCTGCTCACCGTGGAGGTTGCAGCCCCCATCCCTCCCTCTGCGCAGTCGCTGCAGGGCGTGCAGCCTGATCCGAGCTGGTGATGTAATTTCCCATCTGCTTTTTAAATTTCTGCCTTGTTAAAATCCACAGCAGAGAGGGAAGGGGATGGAGGGAGTGGGAGGAGAGATGGCCCCTTGCAAACAGCACTCCCAGGAGTGGTCCTGCTCCCTTGGTCTCCTGTTCAAGATCAGCAGCATTTTAATGATGCCCATGTTAATTTGTGCTCTGCAATCTCTGCCCCTGAGCCAAGTTAGTGTTTCACCATCCCAACTGTTTTTTGCTTCACCTAAAAACAGGGAAGAAGACAAAATAGAGGCAGAGACACGCTCACCCGCCCTGGACTAGTTGTAACAAGCCAGGGAGGGGAGCTGCCATGGCGATGGGATGCATTAGCCTCATAAAGAGCTGAGATAAAAGAGCTCTTCATTATTCCCTTGCAGATTGAGTTAAGGCTCTCAACAGCATTCAGGCTTCCTACCTTCAGTTACAGTAATTTAATTTTACGCAAGTGTCTAATGTGATACCCTGTTCACCAACACTTCCCGAGCCGCAGCGTCGTACGGACGGCTGAACCCAGGAACTCGCCGCTGTCGACCCCCAGTGTTGTCTTCGGATCGGGGTGTTCAGTGAAGCGCTGGTTTTGTCGGTAACTCCATGTGAAGGGCTGGTCGGAATTTAGCAATGCGCTGCATTATGCCAGGACTGCCGAGCCTGACTTCTTGGCTTTTGTCCTACTCAGTTGATGAGCTCTCAAAATGTGGGCTTTTCCCTCAAGCTCTTGTCCTCTACGCGTCTCCAAGGAGTCTTGATCCTTAGTTCACTTTTGGTGCTAGAGAAATATCTTCCATAAGCCTCCTTTAGATCTCCTCCTCTGAAGTTACTGTATTTTTCAGGGCAAGGGTATTAATAGCAGTACCTTGGCCAACTGAATCGCTGATATTTGAAAACTGTATTTCAGCAATTCTCTGTTTTCTACACCAAGAATCCTTCACGATGATTTCAAAGAGGATAATATTACCAAAACGTGCTTCTTTTCAGCTGGGACTTAGGCTGAAATTCCTGTGCGTGAGCAAATTCATCCTGGCTTTAACATGAGTGCTGACACCAGCAGATGAGCAGGCACCAACACGCACGCGCGTGCCGTTTGAAACCTCTGTCGCGCTCCCTTCAAACGGGAGCGGTCTGACCCAGCACGGGGGGTGCCTTCATCTGAGAAGCAGCGCTGGGAAGGCAGGAGGTTGGCGGAGGAGGAAGAGGAGCGAGGCTTGGGTAGCGGGGGCACTGGCGGTCAGAATTCCAGCAGCCCTGGCAGAGCTGTGCGGGAGCTGGCGGTACTGGGAGACACAGACGGGTTGTCCCCTGGTAGCCCTGTGCGGGATCACCGGTCGGGATGGAAACCCACCAGCTGAGCTTTCCTGCGCTCCGCTTGCCACCACTTGTAGTTTTAATTTAGTCTGTTTTTTGGAGGAGGGCTGTCATTCTGGGGGGACAGCTGTGTTAGCGCCATTTCTAAATGGAGCTGAAAATATTAGAGGAAATCTGAAAAAAGGTGCAAAGGACAGGTGCAAAGCGGCTCCTTCCTGCCGACGTCTGCACGGCTGCATCCTGTTTGCAGTGGGCTGGCCTGTAGGTCTGCCCTGGCAGGTGAACAGGGGGCTTTGCCTTGCTGCTCGTGTGGGAACCGGCCTGGCGATGTGCAAATGCTGCATTGTGGTCGTCGTATTTATAGCTTTCACTGAAGTCATCCATTCATTCCAGCTGTACAGCTGGAATGCCAGCAGAAGCTGAATAATTGCCACCTAATGACCAGATTTACAAAACCTGACAACTGCTTGTTTATCAGGAAGAAGGGAGGAATGATCACAGAGTACCTTGTGCCTGACAGTTTGTTTCCAAAAGGCCTTTGCTAGTCCTTGTGTGACACTTAAATACATCTGTTGCTCCTGTTCTCAGGTATATAGAAGAGAGTTCTTTGTTTATTTTACATTTCTTAAGTACACTTCTGATCCTTAATAATTCCGGGGGGTTGTAGTAGTCTTTCTATGATGCTGGGTGTCATTCTCCCCCTCCAGCACTAAAACATTGCAGCAGTAACTAATCCTCTGTCAGAGCTGCATAGGCAGGCCTGTGGGGGTTTGTCACAGATTTTGGAAGGATATTGTACAAATGGACAGGTCCTCTGCGTGAGATTTTATCCCATTTAACAATTCCGTCGAACCACGTCTTAGAAAAGTGTTTGAATCAGCTGGGTATGAGAAGATTTAAAAATGGATGGGAGCAAAGGGAGTTGGATTTGAGCTCGGGGGTAGCAGGCACGGTCATTGGCACTTTCAGAAGGTGTGTGTCTTGTACCCGCGCTGGCAGTGGCATGTAAATAGCTGAGGGGGAGGTACGCCCAGCCTTCAAAGGTAAGTGTTCTCCCAGAAGAGTTTCATCAGCTTGCTGGAACGGAGGAGAGCTGTAAGCCTCCTCCTTCTAGAAACCTTGCTGACGACAGGTAATGAGCCTTACTCTAAGCACAAGAATTATTATAGATTTATTGTCAAGGTTGCATCTTTGTACAAGATGATTTGGCCTCCTGGAAAGCAGGCTGAAGTTACTCTGGTGTTTTGGGCATTAGCTGTTGAGGAATAGTCTCAAAATCACCGTGGGTTACAGGAGAAAGGATTTGGACTAAGCGTCAGCGAATCAGACTTCTCAAGTAGCTTTGGAGAGCTCGCTGGCTCCTTAAACTGTCATCCGATGTGCCTGTGGCCTGTGATGATGTTTGCTGCGTGCTGGCTGGCAGGACAGGATATTTGGATCCTTCCCTGCCAGGGTGGCAACTGGCACTACCTGCGGGCACCGCGCAGGCGCCTCGCTGCTGCCAGCCTGCAGCCCAGCCCGACTGACAGGGCCATGGCCTTGCTCTCATTTTGTTTTGAGAATGAGCCCCTGCCCGCTTGCTGCAGCACGCCGAGCAGGAGCAACGAGCGTGACCTTTCTGTCATTGCAGTGATGGCCTACATGCAGTTTGTGGAAGACTACTCCGAGCCCCAGCCATCCATGTTCTACCAGACCCCTCAGAACGAGCACATCTACCAGCAGAAGAACAAACACCTCATGGAAGTCTATGGCTTCAACGACTCCTTTATCAGCTTAGACCCCTCTCAAGACCTGGCACCTCCTCCTGCTCTCCCACCGAAACAGCGGCAGCTGGTGAGTGACATCTGTGGTGCCCCCCGCCCCGGCAGGGCACACCAGCCCCCCAGGAGCAGCCCTGTTCTTGCTGCTTTGTTTCTGACAGGCGCTGGTGGTGGGAGCATGTCTCGGTGTTACCGCGTCGTTGTCATCCTGTTAACATGTTTTTAGGCATTTTGCATCATCTACTCTAAGCTCCTTTCTAACCCCACGTTCAGACTCTTCCCCATAAGCTCTGAAAGTCCTAAAATGCCCTGAAAATGGAACATTAGTCTTCCACATGGCGTGGCTGAATCTGTGCCAGACGACAGGCTTGTGTAACGACAACTGCTTTGGAGATTTTGACGTGCTGGGCAACATGATTTTCAAGGGATTGCTGTGCTGTTGTTCCCAGTGCTGTTTTGAAACTGCTGTCAAGGATGCCACTAATAATAACCGTTTAAACATGATAACTGCTCTTGTGGCCAAATCTTTGCCAGAGCCACAGAACCTTGGTGTAGGCATTATTTAACTCCTGCATGTTTTCTCCACGTTAGTCCCCTTGTGTGATTCAGTTTTTACCTGGTTTTCAGTGTTCTGCTGCCCACCCCCCCAACTCCCAGCACAAAAAAGGCACATCCACGTGTGTACGTGTGTCAGATTTAACAGTACAGCAAGTGCCATTGTCCACGTAGGGGATGAAATCCTGGACTCAGTGATGGCAGCAGCAGTTTTCTTTCCAACCTCAGGGGAGCTGGGATTTTGTCCTATTTCTTTTAAGGGTCTTTCTTTCTTTTGTCTTGTTTATTTAACTCCAACCTTAGGGGGGTTGTTTACATTAATCATCTGATTTGCTCTATTTTTTACTTTAAAAAAGCATCTTTTGTGCTGATGTAGCTAACTTAAATTGGCCATGGCCTTAACAAAACCGGAGGAAACCGGGAACAGAGCCATGGTCTTACCACCATGAGGGGGACTGTTGCAATATTTCTCCATGTTATCTGTGCCACAGTTTGACTGTCCCAGGGTGTTCTTTTTAATCAAATAGGAAAAGCAACCGAGGACTCTAATTTTGGAATTTGCATAACTACATTCATGTGATGCAGGTGGCATGTGATAAAGTAGCATTTCCAGCTAAACTAACCTGAGTATTACGCATTATTGCTTTGTGGGTATGAGACCTTAAATGCCCATGTCCTGTGTGCTTTGGAGGGACACTGAAGAGTCTTCAGGACTCCTCTCTGGAGGATCAGGCAGTTCTCCAGAGTCTGTGGTCCCCCTGCCAGTGTGATACTTGCACCTTGTAGTCCCTTGCCCCAACTCCTCCTTCCAGAGATGGCTACACTCTAGTGATCGTGTCCAGTGGTGACTTGGTCTGCAGGGTCAAGAGAGAGGGGGTGTACAGCACAGATTTACTGTAGCCACCATGCAGAAGGGAAATTCTGCTCCTTTTCTGAGTTTGTCAGCTGAAGCAAAGCATTTCTTTGCTGCCCTGTAATCATTATCTGGGCAGCCAAGTTGTCACTGCTTTGCCTGCTAGGCATTCTTGTAGTCTCGCAAGCTGATACCATCAAGGTGTTGCTTGCAGTTCCCCTGAAGCGAAGGTTTCTTCAAGTGCAGCCTCCCACCCTTCCCTTCATCCCTCTTTTGGGAAAGTGGTGCAAGCAGGCGATGGCTTCTTCAACAGCCATGGTAAAAGTCACCAGGCTCTTGTTCCCCTGCTCCTGCTGCCGTGAGAGTTTCTGAAACGGCAGATCACATGGGCATCAGCTGCTCTAGCAGCAGGCACGTTCTGCAGGATGGACTCCTCTGTAAAATACTAATTAGGAAGTCCTTTCTTGTGAGGTTTGGATCTTATTTATGAAGCAGCTGTACGTTATAGTCAACAAGTCAGAGCTGAGGAAACCTAGATATACCGTAGCTTCCCTCAAACTCCTTACTGTGTTGGAATTCAGGAGAAAGTCCTTCACAGTGTTTAATATCTCCCTCTTGGGCAAATGATACCTTATTTTGGACTGGACTGAAAATGGCTGGGCATCACTGTTACCCAGCGTCTCAGTAGCGAAGACCAAGTTCCCGTTCTGCAGGTTGCCACAAAAAAACAGTAATCTGCAAGAGTCATGTGCTTAACAGCCAGAAACAAGAGCCAGTTCCTCCTTTGGGCATCTGCCCCCCATGCCGTGGGGTAGAAGTGGCAGAGAAACAGCTTGTCTCTCCCCACAGCAACTGTCCACGGCTGAACTGGAAGGGGGGAGGCTGGGGTTTATTTTTAAGGGATTTGTGAAGATCTGAACTGTGATTTTTGCTGTGCCTCTTGAGCTGAAGACAGGCATATTGGTGTATCTGGCTCTGATGAAGTGTATGAATAGCTGTTTGTTCAGCAAGCCATTATATGCATTGTTTTACAGTTAGCATTTCTTACCCTTTATTCATGGCCTTTTCTGTGCTCTCTTTCTTTGTGTCTTCTGTCTCTTGCTTTCTTCCCCCTCTTCAGCAGGCCTCCTATGCTGCCTATGTCTCCTACTGTGTCCAGCCAGCTAAAGTGCCCTTCACCCCCGAGGACAGCGGTGCCACTCAGGGTCTCACTATGTCAGTCTCTAACTCCTTTCTCAGCCGGCACAGCTCCTTTCCTGTGCAGTCGGTGAGTTGCTCTCCGCACTTCCACACGTGTGTGCGTATTTGTGTCGGTGAAACGCTTGTGTGCAGATTCTTCAGTTGCAGGTAAAGGCTCTTCCAGCTAAAGTGCCCTTCACCCCCGAGGACAGCGGTGCCACTCAGGGTCTCACTATGTCAGTCTCTAACTCCTTTCTCAGCCGGCACAGCTCCTTTCCTGTGCAGTCGGTGAGTTGCTCTCCGCACTTCCACACGTGTGTGCGTATTTGTGTCGGTGAAACGCTTGTGTGCAGATTCTTCAGTTGCAGGTAAAGGCTCTTTTGGGGGCTTTTGAACTCACGTAGTGATCAGCCAGGTGAGAAAAAACAGTGTGTAAATCCTACTAAACGAAGCCCAGGGGCGGTGTGGCTTCATGACTTCATATACACGTCAGTGCTGCCACTGGGGCCAGGGACTGAGGAGGGGGAGTGGGCCTGTGTGCCCAGCACACTCCTTTGAGCTGCACGTTCCCCGGGCTGCACCTTGGAGCTGCAGAGTCTTTTTGTTCCGTTGCCCAGCCTCAGCGATGTGGGTGAGTCGATGAAAGGCTGCAGGGTGAGTCTGGCCTTTGGAGAAATAACGAGATGCTGTCCCCAAAGTACACGGATTTAGTCAAATGTATGGAACAGTGGCTGCAGCTCCTTAATTTTTTTCCTAGAAAATGGCCTCTACCAGGTCTGTCATCTCATACTTGCTTGTCTGCTTCCCTTCACGTCTCCAAGGTCCCAAACAAGCTCAGTAAGCTTGTTTGATTTGCTGATGAATGAGGGTTTTCTGACCTGCAGCACTTGGAGCAGTCTGAACGGAGTGGCAGGAAGAGCTGAGAATGATTTAAATCAAAATGAGAATAATCTTAGAGCACTGCATAGATCTAGGATCGGCTGCTTAAATTAAATGATTGTAATAACAAAGTGCTAATGTAATGAAATGAAATCTAACCATGGGATTCCAACAGCTCATCAGTCCGGGGCTGGATTGCATGTAAAACTATGTGGTCATGCTCTGATTGCTGTGTGATGGCAACTGAGAATAGGCTATTTTTTAACAGTGACCTGGATGTTTAGTAAATTGCACTTTTCTGGAGAAGAAATTATCAGACAAGACTCGAGAAAATTCAGCAGTGTTCAATTAGTTTAATATTAAATATTTGCAAATGGTATCGTCCCACAGTGCCGCTGCTATCTTCCCGTCTCAACACTTACTCGTTCTCTAAAAATGGGTGATAATCGTGGGTCTGAAGCAGAAGAAAGCATTCAAGTACTGTACAAGTAGCACTGCTTCGCAAGCAATGAATTACAGCTTTTGGCTTCCACTTGTCTGAGAGCGCAGTGGCATAGTTTTGCTGCAGCGATGAAAAGGCCGAGGTGTGGAAGGGTTAGTGCTTGCACGAATTAGCGGTAAACAGTTTTAAATTTTGAAGTAATGCAGAAGTTCTGAATTGTACAGCTCTCTTGTTTGATAGTGATCCTTGCAAGCTAAACACAGAACTGTAAGAGCAGGTAAAAGCACTTCACTATTTTTGTTTTAATTGAGAGGCTATAAATATGATCGTATAATGTTCTAAAAATATGTGGGCCCTTCCATTTAGAAAAGCATCCTGATTGGATTAAATGGTTACTACCTACTTAATTGTTCTGACCTGTTTTCATCTTGCTTTGGACTACGTTATCGTGAATATATTACTTTATGAAATGCTAAAACTTCATTAAAAAACCTTTACTTGTTTTTGTGAGGATTTGGCGAGGGGAAAGTAAATGGCTGGTGCCTGAGGAACAATGAGAACAATTAGGCAGTGTGCTGTGAAATGCACAAAGGAAATAAGCTGAATTAAAAACGCTGATTTTTCCACTAATGCCTTTAAATTATGGTAATCTCATCGTTGCTCATGACTCTAGCTGGTCTGTTTTTTCACAGGCAAAAATGGGATTTTTCACTGAGACAGTCTCTTTGTCTCCAAGCTGCAAAATAACCAGTGTCCTTACATGCATCATACCTGACCCACCTAACACCGTAACCATGGTTTATCCCATTTTCCCTCTCCCTAATAAAACAGAGGTGTGAACCAGCTGTCAAGGTTTGGATCCTTCCCAGGGCGACACCCTGCGTTTCCGCGCTGAGGGCCAGAGCCCCTCTTGCAATCTGCTCCCGAGCGCTGGCGGGGAAGACCGGGCGGTTTCACGCCAGGGATGCCGTGACCTGCACCAGTAACACTTTCAGCACGTCGCTCTGCTCCTCTTGTTCTCACCTCTTCGTTTTTAACTCTCTTACCAAAGAAGGGCCACTCAAGTGCGTGCTGCGGTGAACAATAAACCTGGTGAAAAATAAGCAGTGGCTTTCCACCAGCTGCCGGGGGGGAGTTAGTGCTGGGGAGAGCACACCTTCCACACACCAGCCACCTGAGGAGCTGGTCTCTTCTGTATCCAGATATCAGTGGTCATTATCAGATCTCTTAAGATGCTATGTCTCCTACGTTAGTCGTTATCCATTCCATTCAGGATGCACAAACCTCCTTAGATCAATACCAGGACGGCAGAGCTGACAAGCGAAACGGCTGTCCATTGACCCAGCGTGAGCAGTGCATTGCAGGTTGGCCAAGCGTCACCAGTTTTCAGGAAGTGCCCTGTGCTTTCTTCCTTCCCTGGAGACTGGCCTGGGGTGGACAGCAGGAGTCAATCCCAGAGGGAAGACCTGACCCTGTACCCATCTGTTCACGTGCAGGCGGTAGGAGAGACGAGCCTACACCATGGTGTGCACGTTAGCCCACTAGCTCTGCTCCAGGTGAAGGGCTAGCGCCTTGCTACTGATTTAAAGGGCTTAGAAAGACTTCTCAGGTAATTTTTTTGAAGCAAAATTAAGGTGAAGGTGTTCAGAGCATCTTTACTCTTTTAATTTTTAATGTATGAAATGTTCTTCTCTGGAACCCTGACCTTGTGCTTTCTGGTCCGCGCTGCAGACGCTGCTGCGCTCCAGAAGCCACCGCTGCTCTGTCAACCCACTAATCGCGTTTTTCCCTTCTTTGCAGGAAATTGTGTCAGAGGTAATAGCTTTTACTGGATAGAGGCAGATCTTGAGCAGCTAGACTAAACCTCATAGGTTTGGCAAGTTGAGCTTGTTTCTGACCGAGTCTGATTCGCGTCTGGCCTCTGTGCCAGCGAGGGTCGTGTTTGTAGTGTGGGCTGATACCGTAAGGAACAGCAGCATCATAGTCCCCATCCCGTGCACAGGTCAGCCGTTAAATCCCACGTCGGTGGGACAACTGGATTGTACTGTCGAGTCATTTTAGGGGTTCCTATCTCTTTTGAAAGTACTTTCTGTTGCTAGACAGTAGGAGAAGAGGTTTGTAATAAGAAAGCATCCTCCTTGGTAATTGTTGGCAGGGTTTTTTTTCTATGTGATCACGTCCTTCCCTTCTTATGAAGACAGAGATACTGTCCTTTGTTTTATTAACTTCCTGTGCTGCTTGACTGGAAGTTGAGTGGGCAGGTATCCGAACGGCAGGAATCAAATCTCATTTGCATCCAGCTCTGTCCAACCCCTCAGCACAAGAAGGATATCAACCAGTTGGAGCGAGTCCAGAGGAGGCCACGAAGATGCTCCGAGGGCTGGAGCACCTCTGCTATGGGGACAGGCTGAGAGAGTTGGGCTTGTTCAGCCTGGAGAAGGGAAGGCTCCGGGGAGACCTTACAGCACCTTCCAGTACTTGAAAAAGCTACAAGGAAGCTGGGGGGACTTTTTACAAGGGCCTGTAGTGACAGGACAAGGGGTAATGGGTTTAAACTGAAAGAGGGGCGGTTTAGATTAGATATCAGGAAGAAGGTCCCCACCCGCAGAGGGTGGGAGCACTGGGACAGGCTGCCCAGAGAAGCTGTGGATGCCCCGTCCCTGGGAGTGTCCAAGGCCAGGCTGGATGAGGCCTGGAGCAACCTGGTCTGGTGGAAGGTGTCCCTGCCCATGGCAGGGGGTGGAACTAGATGGTCTTTAAGGTCCCTTCCAACCCAAACCATTCATTACTTCCTGGCAGCTGGGGAACTCTGCACTGATAGAGCAAATCAGTCCGGTGTCGAGCTATACCACTCTCCATCCACCTATTTTCCACCAAAGCCTGCAGAAAGTCTTGCATTCAGTTACCCCTAGGGATGTTTCCCTCACTGAAACAAGGAACGCAGTGTTTTCTCTGAGGCACGTACATGCCGTTACGGGAAATTTGGCTGCATCCTCTACTATGGAGAAATAACTTGCCTTTCCCATAAAGCTGTTTTTTCTTATGTTTTCTTTTTAATTAAGAAACATTTCCAGTAATTTTCCAGAAACCAAATTGGCTGTTGGATTCCAGCAGAAGGCGCAAGCGATTTCCTTATGAAAGCTCCAGTTCAGCGCTTCTGTTCTCACTTGTTCCCACTCCCCTTCAGCAAATGGAGCAAGCGCACAGAAAATTCACAGCAACTGCTTTTCTTTCTTGTGTGCGCGCTAACGTATGTTCAGGAAAAGGGGGGGTCAGAGAAGTGTTTAAAGACACGTGCAACGCAGGCATGTGCTTGCCATGTTCTCCCGCCTCCCTCGCGTGCGTACAGCTCGCTTCCAGGCTGTGACACGCGCCACAGCCCTGGGCCTCCGCGGAGACTGAGCTGGTTCGAGTCGTGGTGGTCTGATGGTGGGAACCACGATCAAACCAGGGCGGGGAGGTCATCGCCTGAGAGTTCGTTCCTGCCCTAAGCAGGGTTTGGTTCCTTTGGAAGCAGAGGCAGGATTTGCAGCCCTTTACCCAGCTGCGGAGTTGGAGGCATTGTTTTGCCTTTCCTGCGTAAGCCGTCCTTCTGCGTTCGTGTTCGTTTCCACTGCCCTCGGCAGGCCTGGAAGGTATTAATAGTGCTGCTGCATGCGGGCATCACTGAATCCTGCTTCTGAAACCACTTCCTCCGTTAGTTTACACGTTTGGTGCAGTTGGAGCACAGCTTGTCCCTGTGCAGGTCTCTGAAGCAGTCGGTCCCCGACTGACTTCATCGGTCACAGGCCACGGGTTTTGTGTGACTGATGCTTTCGGCGTCCTGTCTTCGTCTGCAGGCTCTGCCTCTTAAAGGTCGGTCTGCTTGCTAGATGTGGTGGTATTGTCCACCAGCTCAACGACAGCTGATGCTGTAGGTGTGATCAGATTGAATTCTGATGGTTTTACGAGAGATGCATCGTAGCCTGGTTAATAAATCTTACAAATGTTTGATTCCTCCCCACCCCATATTTTTTTGTTGTTGTTGTTGTAAAGGTGTACAAGAAACCTTCCACTTCAGGAGAAGTTTGGGTTTTGTGTTTTCTCACCCAGAAGCCAGGAGGCCCTTTCCCAAGGGAGCATCTATCCATCTGCTACGCTAACCGTTGCTTAAAGCCAGGGAGGTCAGCTGTGCAGCCAGGTCAGAGGCTTTGCTGAGAAACTTGGGAGTGCGAGGAGTTGCTGCCTTTCCTGTGGCAGTGCTTCAAGCCATTCTCTTGGCAGCTTGTGTTTCCAGCCATTCATTGTAGGAGCATTTCCTTCCTCATTAGCAAAAGTACCTGGAAGCCCAGCACTTTGTCATGAGAGAGGAAGTCTTTTCCAATAGTTGTCTGTGCAGTTATATTCTTAGGGCGTAGTGGCTTTGTGCAACACCCAGTGTTCTGTGAACACAGTTCTCTACTGTTAGAATTTGGGCATCCCGTTCTGGCACGTTGCCCACGTCACTCTCTTAATAGCATTAGCAGAGGAGATCTAAAAGATTGATCCTTTCCTCTGATAGCTTCATGTTTTGGAAGTCTGATGCTCTCTCTGATCTGGGAGTGCCTGGCAGGATCAGAGAATAATCAGGCAGAAGGCTGCAGGGTAGCTGAGGAGGTGTGCGCGTAAAAGGTAAAGGCCGTGTCTGCTGAGGCTGCAGATGCTCTAGCAGCCATATAATTGAATTCCAACTTTGAATTTAGGATGGAGGCTGCTGTAACTCGCAACCGGTGACTCCTTGCGTATAACCCCCCCGTCCCCCTGTTACTTGTGGTCAGCCATGTCCTGTGAAGGCAGAGGAGCATCACTCTTGGAATATTCGAGTGCTTATCTCCTGCCATCTAATCCAAATAAACGGTCGTAATGTCATTGACCTTCGAGACATCCTCTGCCACCGCTGCTAATGACAGCGAGCTGTTCTAAAATACTGACCTCTGCCAACAGTCGGAGGCAGCAGATTGGAAACGTTGAAGGATGCCGTCCCTGGAAGACCTCTGCGTGTTGTGGGGTGCGGTTAACCCTCAGGGCTGGGCACGCCAGCTTCCTGCTGTTCCCAGGAGACAGAACTGCGCCAAGCACTCCTGACGGAAGTACTTCCCAAGTGGCAGATAGGGTATTTTTTTTAAATCCTCTTTACTGGTGAGACCAGAGAGCTCTCTCTCATCTCCCTGTGGTGGCTGTTTGCTGTCTCTGGTCAGGATCGCTCATGCTGGGAGACGTGGTCCTGTGGTGGGAGCCTGGCAGCATGACCGGAGTTTGGATAGAGGAAGGCATCCTTTCTCAAAGGATCTGGTTGCGCCCTGATTTCTAGCTTTCCCAAAGATTATTTTGAAGTACTTCACCTAAGGCAAAGCCATGGCGTTGGTGTCAGTACAGCAGTAGCAGAAGCCTTACTGACCCTGCAAGAGCCCTCTAAGAGCAGATTAAACAAACGCTGATTTGTTTCAGAGATAACTGTTGCCTCTGATTCCATGGCGGGAGGGCTAGAGGTGACAGTTCTGTTGAATGGACTGTCCCCTCCCAGAAAAAGCATGTCTTTTAAAGGATGACAGGGCTTCCAAGAGATGTACAACACCCAAAGCCCATGCTGC